CGTGCAAGAACCACAGCGGAACCAGAAGGCGATGGGTCCATTTGAATGGGACGGCACATTGCTATTCCGTCGCCATGAAAGTTCGAGAGGTCGTACATGAAACGAGGCAGGTCTCATCAGGTTCTCCGAATGCCCGTGTGATATGTATGGGACGGTGAGTCACCCAACCCGGGCCTCGCCCACACATGGAACTCACCTTATTAACTTCTGCTGCACTCGCAGGCAGGTGATCCGTTTGAGAAGGTCCATGGATATCATTTGGTAATTCATGAACAAGCCACTGGTGCTGCTTTCCCGCATCAAATTGGACTTGCGCAAGCTGGTCTCGCACGCATCAGGCACTCCAGAGTCCAGACAGCACAGATCCCTACCTGGCACTCTCTCAACTCGGCATGTATTTCTGTGTTCTACCAGCGCGCATTCTTCGATGGACGAGAACGAGCCCATCACACGCTTCTCTCACCTGGATCTCAGCTTCGCCGACAGTGGAATTTCGGGTGACATATCCCCTGGGAGGCATTCGTGCCGCTGACAGAGCAGCCTATTTTTTGTTATGCAGTCCCCTGATCATGCCACGGTAGGTTACGTCGGGCCCCGGTCCAGTTGCAAGGTATAAATGATGGCGAATGAAGACCGAGTCCGGCACCCCTCTTCGCCCGTCATCTCTTTCCGTCCTCACCATGACATGCCCTCCGCCACTGCCATTTGTGAGTACGCCGTCTAGCTCTCCGCTCGCTACCGCTGACGACCGTGTACATCCATCTTATCTCAGGATCGCTGGGCACAGCATGCCCGTCCAGGTGCGTCTCGCTCACATGAGCAGCCCACTGACAACACCTCCTGCAAAGGCGACGCACGGGCCACGTCGAGCGTCGTGCATATCGCGCTGTTCGCCCTCTCTTCACGCTCATGCATCACGTCCTCGCTGCCCCGGCCTATTGAGCCAAGTAAGCGTATCTTGTGATCGCACCATCCGCTCATGCTCACGTCCGCCCGTGTGCAGGCACATCATTCCCCATGCCCGTCAAATGCAGCCGCAAAAACATAGCACAACGCACAAGTACCGGTGAGTACGCCGCTCGCAC